AATGAGTTTTGAAATTTTAGATAAGGTAGCCAGGAAAAAGATCTAAATGAAATGAAGGAGTCAGCCATGTGGATATATGGTCAAAGAAGATTCCAGGCAGCAGGACTAGCAAGCGAAATGTCCCTAAAGCAGACTGTGTAAGGTGTGTTTGAGGAACATGGAGATCAGTATGGCCAGTTATGAGAGCAAGTAGATGAAGTAAGAAAGGTAACAGAAGACCAGATTATTCAGGGACTACTAGATCACAGTATGAACTATGTTATAATTGTCAGACAGGAAGCCAATGGAGGCTGTGAGCAGAAGAGTGACATAATCTGACATACTTAAACAGGCCTGTGCTGGTTGCCGTCATTAAAAACAGACTCTAAGTAAGCAGGGGTAAAAGCAGGGAAATGCAGGCTACTGCCACAATCCAGGCCAGAGACTGCAGTAGCTTGGCCAAGGTGGTGGAGGCGGTGGTGGTAAAGAGAGATCAGACTCTGGATATATTCTAAAGGTAGGGCCAAATGGAATTTGCTGACAGACTGGATGTGGGGTATGACAGAAGTCAGGATTTTTGGCCTTAGCAACTGAAAGAAGAGAAGTGCCATTAATCTGAGATAGGCCTGGAGGTGTTAAATTTTGGATGTGCTACATTCAAGGCACCCGAATTTATTAAGCAACAAAAAAAGAATTTCCTACGTTGACTTGCATCCTGCATGTTCCCTGTCATTGAATTCTTCCTTTTTTTTTTTAACAAACAGATCTTATTGATCATATTAATCTTTTATCTTAGAAATATAATTACTATAAATTTTAATGTGACTAAAAGATAGGAGCAAATAATCTAGTAGCACTTAAAACCCAACCACCTTTCGAAAAACATAGTTCAGTGATATATAGCAATGCAATAAATTTTGAAACCAGAAAAAATTCTAGGATCGACTATTTTTTTTTTTTTTTTTTTTGCGGTACGTGGGCCTCTCACTGTTGTGGCCTCTCCCGTTGCGGAGCACAGGCTCCGGACGCCGCAGGCTCAGCAGCCATGACTCACGGGCCTAGCCGCTCTGCGGCATGTGGGATCTTCCCGGACCGGGGCAGGAACCCGTGTCCCCTGCATCGGCAGGCGGACTCTCAACCACTGCGCCACCAGGGAAGCCCTAGTATCAACTATTTTTAAACGACTGCTAGAATAAAGCGTGAGCTCTTGTTTTGTTTGATTTTTAGTTGGTAGGTGGGTGGGGAGGAAAGTTCATTTATTCTACAGGAGAGACTGGGGACAATTAGCATTTAATGCTTATTTGCAGAAAATAAAATCATAAAAGCTCAGAGTATTTTAAATGCCACTTATATAAAATGTGACATTTAGTAGAATTTATTTATTGTTACACATGTGGGACTAATCAGACTTAGAAAAAAATGCAATTTTTCAACAAAAGCAAAAACCAGTGTCTCTGAAAATTTGAGAATGCAATAACATGCCCTCTGGTCCATTTTTTATTTTATTCTTAACAGATAACTAAAAATTCAGATTTAATCTTATTCAATAGTTTAAAATTATTCGTCTCCTACTGCCTAGAGGAAAAAGCGCAATGTTGCTTAACATAATATACAAGACACTCCACGAGCCAGCCACCAGCTTTCTTCCCAACTTGACTTTCTATCATGTGTCTTCTTACACATCTCATGCTTGAGCCCAACTTTTCCCAATCTGTGTTCAAAGGGATACCAGTTCAAGATTCACCAGAGAAAAAGGGCTCCATGGTCAAATACATTTTGCAAATTAATGCCAAAGACATTTCCCTCTTAGAGACGTGGAAATAGTCTATTATGAGCACTATAAAATGCAGCATTCCCCATACTTATTTGACCACAGAACCCTTTTGGTGTAACAGCTACTAACATGCCCAGCAACCTATTTCAAAAAAGCTCCAGGCTTATTAATGATGCAAAGCTTTGTACCAGTCATTCTGTTTCAGAGTTCTGGGCCTTTGCATTCTTTCTCTCTGCCAGGATGGCTCCATCACTCTAGTTGGCTTGGTGAATTTAAGCCTTCTTTCAAGTCTCAACTCTCCTAACCTTTGAAGTCACGCCCACGTTTCCTCTTTGCCCCTCTCTGCCCCCAGAAAATATCAACACTTTTTCCTTCTCCCCACAAGTATGTTACATTACAATTACTTGCTTTTTAATTAATTTATTTATTTATTTATTTATTGTGGTACGCGGGCCTCTCACTGCTGTGGCCTCTCCCATTGCGGAACACAGGCTCCGGACGCACAGGCTCAGCGGCCATGGCTCACGGGCCCAGCCGCTCCATGGCATGTGGGATCTTCCCGGACCGGGGCACGAACCCACGTTCCCTGCATCGGCAGGCAGACTCTCAACCACTGCGCCACCAGGGAAGCCCACAATTACTTGCTTTTTTGTCCGTCTCGCATGATGGTAGAAACTTTTTTTGTGTGCTTAGTTCTCCTATGTGGTGCTCAATTAATGTTAATAGAATTAACTGCAAACAGGCTTTTAAAAATTATTTTCTACTTATTCTTTAATGTTTTCAATATTTCCCTTCCTCATCTCACACTTATATTTAAATGATCTAGTCTTTTAAAATATAAAACTTACTTATGCATCATTAATGCTTTATTTTGCTTTTTCTCAAATGACTAGGTGTTAATAACTATATCACAACTAATGAAATCACACTCTTAATTAGCCAAAGCATTTTCATTTTAGGAATGCATGACTTTCACAGAATAGGACTTTACCTATGGTACTCAATACCCTGTTCCCAGAGTCTTCCTAAGGAAAAGCACCCAAGAGCACCACAGACATTTGAAGTTCTATTTATGAACATCTAAAGTCGGTGGAATTTTCAAATTGTAAAACTTTATAAAATCCCAGAATAACATACTTACAACCCATTATTGCCTTTCTTGGGCTCCCATGTCACTAGAGTCAAGACTCTATTACCATCCTTTGCTATATATATTCATTTATTTGTTGCTTCTCTATCATCTGACTAGACTGTAACTCCAGGGAAGTGGAGATTCACCCACAATGACTGCTAACTCAAAAGTTACTGAATGAAGATACATTCTTTCTGGCTCAATAAAAAGGTCCAAAAGGACTCTACTAAGCAGAGTAAGACCTAGCAGAGGTATAACAGAAAAAGGACTAGATGGGAATCATACAACTAACATTCCTCACTTGCTACTTGTGATATCGTGTTAGTTTCAGTTCCCCATCAGTAAAATGATATTTGCTCTAACTTATTGGACTTGTGAAGATCCAAGGAGATCATTCATTCATTCAAAAAGCCTATATATGTATATTATGATGTTAATATGAGAGGTGGTTAAATTTACTTATTCCACTGAAGCAAAATGAAGCATAATGACTACATTTTTCCAGGACACTGGTGTGTATAACCCAGTACCTAGCTCTAAATTTTGATTAATCAGGTTTTACACAAAGCCTCAACAAATGGAAAAAAAGTTACAAGCAAAGAATGGTTCCAGCTCTAAATCACAAGTTATGGCCTCTGTGATCAAGACTGACTAACTGTGGGCTTCCCTGGTGGCGCAGTGGTTGAGGGTTCGCCTGCCAATGCGGGGGACACGGGTTTGTGCCCCGGTCAGGGAGGATCCCGCACGCCGCGGAGCGGCTGGGCCCGTGAGCCATGGCCGCTGGGCCTGCGCTTCCGGAGCCTGTGCTCCGCCACGGGAAAGGCCACAGCGGTGAGAGGCCCGCGTACCGCAAAAAAAAAAAAAAAAACTGACTGACTAACTGCATATCTATTCACCTACTCCCATGGAGAGGGACAGCTTTATGGAACTTAAGTGTTAGAAGCAAAGAGCAAGTTCTGTGCACTGAACAATGATTACTTTTTAGTTTTACTTTCTAGAGTAAGGAGTAAGTCTTGATATAATTACCATTCCATTTTCAATAAATTCAGGTATACCAACGTAAGAAACACATGTCAAGACTTAACACTGGTGTCAACTACCACATGCTCCGGCTCACACATTGTTCACCTATCGGCCCCCAAAACTAAAATATGATCCAATGGCAGATCTTCCTGAAAGACGATTCAGCTTTCACCGATCAAGCTTCATGTTCACTGCTTGCGACAGAATACACCCTAAAAAAATGCCCCGCCCCCCATTCCTGGACTACTCTATCTTGCCTTTTCTTTTTTTAAGTTTCTTTTTTTTGAATTTTATTTAATTTATATTTTTATACAGCAGGTTCTTATCAGTCATCCATTTTATACACGTCAATCCCAATCGCCCAATTCATCACACCACCACCCCCACCCCTCCGCGGCTTTCCCCCCTTGGTGTCCATACGTTTGTTCTCTACATCCGTGTCTCAACTTCTGCCCTGCAAACCAGTTCATCTGTATCATTTTTCTAGGCTCCACATATATGCGTTAATATACGGTATTTGTTTTTTTCTTCCTGACTTACTATCTTGCCTTTTCGAGCAAGGCCTTCAGACATAAAAAGCCTCAGGAGTATTTTCAAATATTACCTCTTCTGAGAGGAACTACTCAAAGGATGTGTAGTACTAAACATGTGTTTCCCGTACATTCTGCAGCCAGCTCTCACGTCTACTCTTTGAAAACACGAAAATCCGACTGTAAGTTAACCTAACAGAAACAAGAGCTACGTGATGTGAGACACTGTGTCACCTGGGCAAGTGTGATAACTGACACAACTTCCATGAGTCCGAGTTACTTTGAAGACAGCCCCTCTGGGAAGACAGCACACCCTTTTCTCTCTGCAGTCATTTCAACCTCTTAGAATACCTCAACTGCAGAAAGAACCCCGGGCCCACCCTTTTCCAGGGACAGGGGATAGAGAAGAAATCCAAGGAGCGCACAGAGGGTTTGGGAGTGGAGACCCCAGCAGAAGAGTCCACTGAAGCAGGGGTCGCCCAGACCAACCTGGACCCCTCTGGTGCGCCTCAGGCTTCTCAGAGCAAGCCCCGAAGCAGACACTGTGGGAGGTGAGTCTAACCTGAGAGGCTGCGGGCGCTTGCTACCGCGGGAACAAGCTTAGTTGCCGAGAGTATCCAAGGCATGACCGCCACGCTTGCACTTCAGGAAGGAAACGCGGAAAACTGACGATGATGCCGCCGCCAGCAGGGTGGAGTCGCCCGGAAACCAGGCCAGGCGTCCCTCCCCTTCCGGCCGGCGCTGCTCGACGGGCTTTCCTCCCACAGGGGCGCAGTATGTTGACGTCACGCCCGGCGCTGTGACCGCCGCTCCGGCCGGAGGGCCACCCTGGCGTCATGACGTCATGTTCCATTTAACGGCCACAATCACAGAATATTCTATTCTAAATGACTCCCCGCAGGGGCTGACAGCTCCCGCCTCCTTGAAAGCACCGGATAGGAGGTTGATCCATCTAGAGCACTGTTCTGAGTGAAGATAAGAATCCGTGCATGGAGAGGCAGGCACCAGCACGAACAGCCACACTTCTAGAAGATTCTAGCCAGTGCACAGCGCGGCTGTAGAGGAATAGGAATGAACGGGCGAAGGACCCGGGGTCACGAGACCGTTGGGTGGGCGGAGCCAGCGGCCGGGGAGGTTCTAGTCTGTTCTGCCTCTCAGCAGCCGCCCCCTTTACGCGGTCACGCTGAGCTAGCCCGGGCTTGGGATCGGGCCGCAGCCTCTGCCGCGCCCGCCGCCTCCTGCTGCCTCCCGCCGCCTCCGGACCATGGACCCCCGCAAAGTGAGCGAGCTTCGAGCCTTTGTGAAAATGTGCAAGCAGGACCCAAGCGTTCTGCACACCGAGGAAATGCGCTTCCTGAAGGAGTGGGTGGAGAGGTGAGACCCGGGCCTGAGGGCCGATGGGGGAGGGAACAGGGACGGCGGGAGGGGGAGCTGGGCCCGAGCTGGCGCGGGGCGGAGGAACCTGGAGCTCGGCGGCGAGTCTCGCTCCCTGGCGGCGACCTCGAGGGGCTCGTGGAGGATCGGGAAGCTTAGATGGTTCAGAGGCAGGGAAGGAAAAGGCAGAGCTGGGTTTCCTCCGCTCTGAGGTCGCCAGGGGTGTGTCTTCGGCGAAATACGGAGATGCAGATGGTTGCGGGCAGCAGGGCACTGTAGCCTGCTACAGTGAGGGGGAGGGGTGAAAGCGGCAAGACTTAGCTTTCTCATGGAGTTGTTTTTCTTGAAATCTCTGGTGTCCTGCTGAGGTCGCAGTGACACGAAGCAGCTCCTTTACGCACTGTGCCTTTAAAAAGTGGTGTGATGTGTAAGTTATTTAATAAGTTACAATAAAAGTGGTAACTGTGTTTGATTACTTTTACAATTACAGCGATTCTAAGTGCGTAGAATTATTTTGGGAATCGCTTATTGTACCTCCGTAGTGGCAGTGCCATCACGCCAAACACTTTTAAAAAACTGATTTTTCAAGGACCCACATGTTAACACGATCTATTCTTGTTATCTTTAACTCCAGAGTACGGCGCTACGAGCGTGGAATTAATTGGACAGGCATTGTGCCAGGTGCTAGCTAGGAAACAGTTTAAGTACAATCTATTTAGGGATACAGATGGATAAGTACAGAAATTCGTCTTGGTGTTTAGCATGTAATAGAGATTAGTATTCTTCGTATTGAAGGGGAACTTAAGGGAGAAAGGGAACTCTTCCCCGAGATGATTCTTTAGAGTCAGTACTCCTGGTGAGGAATTTAAAAGAGATGACATACAAATTGCATCTCACGGTGATAAATAGCGAGTAAAAAGGGATAAATAGTGTAAAACAATATGACTCCTAAAAGGTACTACCCTAAACGTTGATTTGTTTATTTTAGTAACATTTTTATAGGGGAAGATGAACCAACGATTAGCCAACATTTGAAAGAATATTTCTTCCAGTGAGCTTGTTCTAACGAAGAAACTTAAGTTCAGATCTATCAACGTTGTCTGATAGTAATTTTTTTCCTCTAGAAGTTTCTCAGTCCTTTTTTCCCCCACCAGTTTTCTAGCTACTGTAAGATTTTTGCTCATGTTAATTTATGTAAAATTCTGAGAACACTTACAATTAGTTACTGTAGTAGCTTAATAACAGTTGTTAACAGTTAATACCGTTTTGCAAATTGTGCTTTTTAACAGAAAAATTTTTAGGACTAGGAATCGAGGTCTAGATTTTAGTCATTTTCTCTGTTGAGTAACTTGATCCAAAAATGTCACTTAAGATATTTGTATGCTTTTGTCCTTCTCTTAAACTTACTCATTGGAGAAAAGAGCCTACAATTAATAAGTTCTTAAAATTCCAGGTAAAGCGGACCTATACTGCAGGAAGAAATATTTGGCACCAAGAGTGAGCGGTATATTGAGTTGATACAATGTTATGTTCCACTCCTAGAGAGGTAGAGGACACTGTGAGGAAAAAGTTAACACGCATCCGAGAGCAGTGTTGTAACTTGTGCTGGAGTGATTGTGGCTGTGTAGAGAATTCCGATTTATGGTCTGAAAATTCTGTCAAGTATTGTAGTCTCTGAAGTGTATCAGTTCCTCTCTTTTCTGTCTTGGTATCAGTCTTCTTAAAGCAGTCCAAAGTTATAGGAGATAGGGTTGAATGTGGAGACTTCTAGGTCCAGTAATATTCCTAAACCTAATCCTACTTTTAGGGTTCCTCAAGTAGAAACCATCTCAGGTTTTCCTTTAGTACATACTAAATTAGTCATGGATATCCAGGCTTAGACATTGAAGAACAGTCCATTTGCTTATTTGCTATAATTTCTGCTATTGTTTATAGCTTAAAATTTTATTTGGTTTTAAGTTTATATAAGTTTAATAAATTGAACAAGAGAAATATGAAGAAAAAAATTTTGGCCCAATAGTCAGTGGGAATCAGGGAGACTACATTCTTTCCAAGAAATAATGTTTTGGAATATTTTTGTTTTTCTAGGGGGAGAAGTATTTTCTGATGCTACTTGCTCCTATATCACAACTCGGTCTACTTTGTATCGTGCAGTTACTATGGCAATTTAAGATCAAAGGGAGAATCTTGTATTCTAGTCTCCAGCACAGTGCATGCATGGCACATGGCTTTTCAGCAGATTTGTTTTTTTTGTTTGTTTGTTTGTTTTTTGTGGTACGCGGGCCTCTCACTGTTGTGGCCTCTCCCGTTGCGGAGCACAGGCTCCGGAGGCGCAGGCTCAGCGGCCATGGCCCACGGGCCCAGCCGCTCTGCGGCATGTGGGATCTTCCTGGACTGGGGCATGAACCCATGTCCCCTGCATCGGCAGGTGGACTCTCAACTACTGCGCCACCAGGGAAGCCCTTCAGCAGATATTTTAAATGAAATGAACAGGATGCATTTGTATCCTCAGTGAATTTAAAATATAGCACCCAGTGTTTTGTACATGTGTGTAAGTAAATATAGCACAGAGTAGGTTTAATGTTACTAAATTAAGAGAATTATGACTGAAGTCTTGTGTGGTCCCACATAAATGCCTATGTTGGCAAAGTCCAGTTTGCAATTTTTGGCGGAGAACTATCTTGTTTTAAATCTTGGAAGCATAAAATGAAACTTCTGTACCTATAAATTGGTGTTACCTTCCAATAGTTAACTAGAATTTGGAATGTGAGAAACTCTAAATCTAGTTTATGAATAAACCCTCTTGGGTTTTCCTCCCAAGTTTTAAATTTTTTAATTTTTTGGAAACAGTTTCTAGCTTGCAAACAAAATGCAAGTATAGTACAAGGAATTTTTTCCTGAACTATTTCCAACACTGTGTCCCCAACACCATTTAGGGTGTGTTTTCTGCAAACAAGGACAGTCCTCTGCAGTACAGCCATCAACTCAGGAAACTGATACTGATACATTAATAGTATCTAATCTTGAGAATTACATGTTACACTTCGTACTCATGTCTCTTCGTTCTGAAATAATTCTTCAGTCTTTCACTGATTTTCATGACCTTGGCAATTTTGAATATTATGGGTCAGTTATTTTGTAGAATTTCCCTCAATTTGGGTTTGTCTGATATTTCCTTAGGATTAGATTTAGTTTAACACATTAGTTGGCAGGACTATCACCTCCCAAAGTTTTAACATAAATTACACTGTTAGGACTGTGTTTGGATGTCACTCTAAATACATTCTTGGATGCTGCATTTTGAAACTTAGGAAAAACACAGTTTAGGAAGTCTGGTGCCTTCATTAAAATTTAACTACAAAGAACTGGTATTTGATTACTGTGCTCTTTCGAAAAGTTTTTCGGTAGAATAGAATTTTAAAGAATTTTGTCCTGTTTATATGCTTGTTCCCTATCATTAAACCATCTCACTTTGCTGAATTGCGTAGTTAGATGTTTTGGATTGTGTAATGATTTAATGATTGGCACACGGGAGCCATTTTTCCTTATCAAAGGTACTGAGTAACTGAAGATTTTTTTTGTTACTGTCACATTAAACAGAATGGGAAAGGTACACATTTTTCTTAATTGAATGGTACATACAAGAAATTGCAAATTTTGTTTCTCCTTACATTTGTTACTTTGCATTTATACTTTTACTTCATGTTGGCCTTATCAGAAGATACTATTGAGTGAATAGGCAAGCCACAGGGTGGGAGAAGACATTTGCAACTTGTAAAACTGACAGAATGTGCATATGTGGAATATACAAAGAACACCTACAAACATGATAGACAACCTAATAGATGGCTTGACAAGAGGTGAACTTTACGATAAAGGTTTTTAAAATGGCCAGTAAATGTATGAAAAGAGATACCACTACACACCTGTTACAATAAGATACCACTACACACCTGTTAAAAATGCTAAAAATTTAAAAGATGGACAGTAGCTAAGTGTGGAACTGATGAATTCTCATACAGTGGTAATAGATGTGTAAGTTGGTAAAAGAACTTTGGAAAACCAATATCTATTTAAATCCAGTATACTCATACCTTATGTCCAGAAATCCCACCCAATTGAAATTAATGTAAGCATGGCTCTGATAACTGTAAGTTATAAAGAATTGACGCTTACACGTGTTTTGGACTAGGTTCCTTTCTGTTTTCCAAGTTAACATATCTTTGTTTTACATAAAAAGTTAATGGCCTTTTTTTTTTTTTTTAAGGCACATGTTAAGTCTTTGTGATCTCCAGCTCTCACTATTGTGGAGTGCTCTTAATCCACTGAATTTTTTAATCACTGGACTGTTGCATGTAGCCCTTACGCTTAGAAGGAGCATATAACACTAACTCTTCATGGTCTTATTTTTTCCTTATTTTTAAGTTATTTATGTATAATTCACTTCGTTGGCCTGGAGTATTTGGGAAACAAGGGCTTGCAAGGCCAAGAAGAAATTCTAATGGGTGAAGTTTAGAGGTGATAAGGAGAAAATCTTCAGTGTGAGGGGCATATGAATATAACCAAGAAGAACCCTTGTAGGTACTAGTCAGAGGAAACAAATGTTTTGAATCATTACACTGTGACTTCATATGGTTATTTTATAAACTGCCTATTTGAATTTAATTGAGCTATTCTTACTAAATATCAAACTTCTGATTCAAAAATTCAAAGTTTTGAATTCGAGTATATCTACTGAACTCTAACAACTTGTACAAATGATTTTGTCATTGCATGTTTCTCTACCTCTTTTCCTTTTTCTCTGGGAATGGGCAGAGAAGCTGTATAATTAAGTTTACTAGACTTATTGAGACAAGGAAAGGGTTAGATTTTTATTAACCAGTATCCTAAAAGTAAATAAATTTTTAAGCTGAAAGAAACTTACAATACTGAAGCATTCAAATGAGTTACCCTTAAAGGTTTGAAAAGGTAATTATTTAAATATGTAACCTTTTTCTCAGCATAAATAAATGTTTCTTGGCTTACTGAATTTTAGTTTTCTAAACAAATATCTTTTCTTTCATCTTTCTCAAGCATGGGGGGTAAAATACCACCTGCTACTCATAAAACTAAATTGGAAGAAAATACCAAGGTAAGCTATGAATTTCATTTGTATGTTTAGTGATAAAGTACAATAAGGTTTCTTAGGGATGTTTGTCACCTTCTGCCCTCAAATTGCCATTCCTGATTTCCCTGAGAAATCACTTGGAAGTAACATCTTTGTAAAATTTCTATTTGGACATCAAATCTCTATAATCTGATTTAACACTGAGAATGTGGGGTTGAATGTTCACTATGTTGTATAGAGTAAGTGAGAATAAATGCTGGATATATATTATATGCATGACCTGTAAGTGGTAAGCTCTGTGTCTGTGTGCATTCGTAGTCTTCATCTTTATTTATTATTTTTTTTAGCCACTCAGCGCTGCTTGTGGGATCTTAGTTCCCTGACCAGGGATTGAACCTGGGCCCACAGCAGTGAAAGTGCTGAGTTCTAACTACTGGACTGCCAGGGAATTCCCATTCATCATTTTTGGTTGGTTGTTTTTTAGCACGTAACATAGTGTTTTTGTAGGTACTTTATTAATATTTGGAAAGTAAATGAAAAAACAGCCCAAATTAGTTACTCTCAATTTTTTTTTCTGCCCTACCACCTGAGGAATATTTCTGAATGTGGTTCATGGAGTTGCTTTAGCGTATTTGCCAAAAAGGTGTGTACAAACAGGAGGAGGTTGCTGGTATCTAAAGTTTAGAGATGGGGATGGGGGAAGATGTACTCTTAATGCTCCCTTGGGACTTCCCTGGTAGCACAGTGGTTGAGAACCCGCCTGCGAATGCAGGGGACACTGGTTCAAGCCCTGGTCTGGGAAGATCCCACATGTTGTGGAGCAACTAAGCCTGCGAGCCACAACTACTGAGCCTGTGTGCCACAACTACTGAAGCCCATGCACCTAGAGCCCGAGCTCTGCAACAAGAGAAACCACCGCAGTGAGAAGCCCGTGCATCACGACAAAGAGTAGCCCCTGCTCGCGCCACAACTAGAGAAAGCCCGTGCACAGCAACGAAGAAGACCTAATGCAGCCGAAAATAAATAAATAAATAAATAAATAAATAAATTTTTTAAAAAAAGAATGCTCCCTTTGGAATTCCTTTTTCTCCTATTTTCTGCCTTCATGTCTAAAAGGTTTTTTTCCTCAGTCTTCTGACTAGCTGTCTTAAATTGATAAGAAAATTTGCTGTTTTATTATTTAGCTTATCTTTGAACAGTGAAATGAGAGAAGTTAAGTAAAAGCTTCAGAAGTAGTAATTCTTTTTTTGGTGAGTCAATTGTCAGAGTTTGGTAGATTCTGAGCCCTAGGTAAGATATTTTGCCATGTGATACATGTGTGAAGACAAAATTGTATTAACTTATATATCTCTGCTAAAAAATTTTTATTTTGCGAAAGTAGTATGTGTTTGATTATGGAGAGTTGTGGACTACAGTGCCTGTTAAGGGTGTTACATAATATGTGGTATGTCCACTTTATTAGCTTCCTAAAATCCAAAATTTCAAAAATTCTAAAACTCATTTTCTAAATGGTTTGGATGAGGGACTGGACCTATACTTAATTAATTTATTTTTATTTATTTATTTTTTGGGCTCCGTTGGGTCTTCGTCGCTATGCGCGGGCTTTCTCTAATTGTGGCGAGCGGAGGCTACTCTTCGTTGCGGTGCGTGGGCTTCTCATTGCAGTGGCTTCTCTTTGTTGCGGAGCATGGGCTCTAGGTGCTTGGACTCAGTTGCAGCACGTGGGCCGTACAGCACGCAGGCTTCAGTGTTGTGGCACGTGGGCTCAGTAGTTGCAGTGCATGGGCTCTAGAGCACAGGCTCAGTAGTTGTGGCACATGGGCTTAGTTGCTCCACTGCATGTGGGGTTTTCACGGACCAGGGATCGAACCTGTGTCCCCAGCATTGGCAGGCGGATTCTTAACCACTGTGCCACCAGGGAAGTCCCTTTAATTTAAAAAGAGAAATAAAAATAGAAAACAAAAGCTAGTTTACCAAAACAAAACAAGAAAGAGCATCAACAACTGAAATACAGTGTATCTGAATAGTTTATACATAAATTGGTATAAAATAATAGCATATATGTTGGGTGTGTTATTAAATGCTGATAGCATTGTTTGCCTTCCTTTTGCTAGGAAGAAAAAACAGATAGTAGGAAGGCGGAGGAAAACATAAAGACAGACGAACCATCAAGTGAGGAGAGTGATCTAGGTGAGGAGATGGTAGTTAGTTTGTATTTGATAATCTCATGATATGGTCCTGTGTTGATTTTTACTAAATTGGCTAAATTAGTGCTATCTAATAGGAAGTATAACGTGAGCTACATATGAAATTTAAAATTTTCTAGTAACCACGTTTTAAAAATTTAAAGCAGTTGAAATTAATTCAAATAATATATTTTAAACAATATGTAAAATGGTACCATTTCAGCATGTAATCAATATGGGAAAATTATTAATGAGCTGTTTTCCTTTTTTCATACTAGGTCTTCAAATCCAGAGTATTTATAGCGTATCTCAATGCAGATGTTACCTTTTTAATGGAAATACTTGATCAGTATTCAGACTTCATGAAATTTGTATTTGAATAAGTTGGGTCAGATACCCAGGTTTTTCTAGACATATGTAAAAGTTTTCCAATAAATGAATCCAGTACCAAAAAATTATTTTCCTTTAGTACCTGCATCTGTGTTAATAAAACTTGTTCAGTTTAGAAGAATTGATGTCTATGCCATGGGCTTGGGGTTTTATTTGTTTGTTTGGTTTGGTTTTTTTAGACTGAAAACTGACAAATTTCTTCATAAATTTGGAGGTCCTTTGAGACTATAAATGTATACCCCAGTTATTAATTGGGCAGTCTCTTAATTCACAGAACCTATCTAAAAGCTTTAAAAAAAATACTCATTTTTCAAATTTTGAGTCCGTTGATCTTTGGTATGTTAGAAAGGGTTTGTTGTTTGGGGGCTTAATCAGATCTTTTACTTTTTGTAAAATTTTTTTAGTCTTACAATTTTCTAACAATTACCATGACTAATATTTTTTAAAAAATTAATTCCATCTAAAAGCATTTTGTGCAGGAATCAAGCTGTTTTATAATTAGAAAAAGTTACAAGCTCAGTTCCTGTTAAAAATTGATTAAAAATTTATTGTTGGATGTTAATTCTGATTTCAGGTAGCCAATTTTAATTTCATTCTTTTTTGACAGTTGAGAGGAAACTGCTTTTATCACATTTACTCTTTGCTAAAAATGTCTCCTAATGTTTATTGTTTAAAAAATTTTTGATATATAACAGTTACTTTGTTTTGTTTATACAGTTGTCCATCATGAAGTTTGCAGCATAGCTCTTTGTAGTGCTATCTTTGGGGGTCAGTTCTGTACGAGTAGTATACTTTTAGTTTAAAATTTATCCATACTATGTTTTCAAAGGCAGAAAATGGTAAAATTAAATATTTTATCATGATTTACATCAGAGTATCACTATAACTTGTGCTATCTGCATAAAATATTTTTAAAAAAAACATTATAGTATATTGGTGTGTAGAACACAATATTTCAACTGAATCAGTTTGTTGACACTGACTAAATCAGTATGTCTGTGTAATATGTAATAGGAATAGAAACTATGCACTTGCCAGAGTACCTACTACAATATGATAATAAATACCTTGCATTATGTGACTATTAAAATTAAATATAATTTTACCAAAACAATAAGATTGTGTTTAACAGGGAAATATTTTAGTGTACCAGTTTAAATAAAATTAACAAAGTAAAATATTTAAATTAATCTAGAGTAAAATATTCAGTTCATCAGTTGCACTAGCCAAGGTTAATTAATTTTTAGTAGCCTCATGTGGCTAGTGGCTACTATATTGGATAGCCCAGGTCTTATTTTCATTTTCTTAACTTCAACAGAAATTGACAATGAAGGTGTGATTGAACCAGACACTGATGCCCCTCAAGAAATGGGAGATGAAAATGTAGAGGTAAGTTCAATGGCTTATTTTCTGCTTGCTGCCAGGAATGTGAAAGCCTACCTACTGTAATAATTTTATGACATCTCTCTTCTAGGAAAAGCGCAAGTTGAATCTTTCTCTGACTTAAGGCATCTAGGAAAGCATTTTATTCTTTAAAATATTTGTGAAAATTCCCTTTATTTTTAATCGTAGTCTCTAACAATCTCTGAAATACTTGTATTCTGTTTACCTATTTCAGTTTGCATCTGGTTCGACTGCTTTTGAGACCATAGAGTTCATGTAACATTTATTTCTACAAGTGGAATTGCCTGTTAATGGGATATCTATCGCCAGTTTTCTAAAATGGTTTTGTCCCAACAAAAGATATTGCCCTCAAGGTGATGAAAATCGGTTCTTGGGAGGGGGGCTTGAAAAAAACTTAGGTGTTACAATGGTTAGTGGTACTCCAAAGGTCGTAGCACATTCACATATATGCACTATATCTGCAGTATTAAAATGGAGGGGGTGAGAAGTAAGAAAAAATTGCCTAAAAAGGCTCTTTGGGGGTTGATAATGAAACAAAGCTTGAGAAACATTGTGATATACTAATTGCAGTTTAAAAGATTGGTCCATATTCTCACCAGTTCTTGATATTGTCATAATTCATCTTTGCCAACCTTACTGTGTGAAATATGTCCTTGTGGCTTTTAAGTTTGCATTTTCCTGATTTCTAATAAAGTTGACATATTCTCATGTTTATTGGTTATTCACAGGTGCTTGTGAAGTCTTATTCTGACTTTTCCTTTTTCTTTTACTGGTTCATCTCTTGCTGATTTTTAAGTTCAGTTTATATTCTGCTAACAGTTGATGCCAACAGTTTGTCGTCTGTGTGCTCCACATTTTTTTCTACTAGTTTGTGGTTTCTCTTCACTTTCTTTACATTGTCTTAGTATACAAAGTCTTTTTTTAAATATTTTAATTTTATTGGAATATAGTTGATTTACAATGTTGTTAGTTTCAGGTGTACAACAAAGTAATTCAGTTATACATATACATCTATTAATTCTTTTTCAGAATATTTCCCATATAGGTTATTACAGAGTATTGAGTAGTGTTCCCTGTGCTGTACAGTAGGTCCTTGCTGGATATCTATTTTATATACAGTAGTGTGTGTATGTTAATCCCAAGTTCCTGATTTATCCCTCCCCCCATACAAAATCTTCTAATATAGTTAAATTGAAAGTTCTTTTATATGCTTTATTACCTTAAGGTTATAATTGCTGTAATATATTGGTTTTTTCCTTCTGAAAATTTCATGCTTGCCTTTCACCTTTAACCATCAACACCATAATTGAAAAATCCTTTTCCTCACTAATGCCAAAATACACGGTTTCTGTATATGTGTGGGTCTGTTTTGGTGTTTTCTTGTTCTACTTGTCTAATTTTTTTCCATGCACTAATGACACATTGTTGTGTTTAGCTTTATATTAAGTCTGTTATCTTGTAGGGCAAGGACCCCCAAACCTTTAGGAGTAATTTTGGTTGCTATTGGCCCTTTCTTCATCCATGTAAATTTTAGAATCAGATTGTTATCCCCCCTCCGTTAGAATTGCATTAAACCTAAATTAACAAATGGAGGAGCTACATCTCCTCATTGTTGAGATTATCCATGAATGTGATGTCTGTTTTATTTTTAGGTCTTTTTTAATGTCTTTAAATAATTTAACTTTTTCTCCATAACGAATATAAATACTTTGTCAATATTTGTTAAAAAATTAATCATGTTCTATTTATTGATGGTGCCGTTCATCTCGGTGTGTTTAGGTTTATAATACTTTTTATTTATCCTACTTGGGATTTACTGGGCATCGTAAATCCTAGGGTTAACTTTTTTTAGCTCTGGAATATTTTCAGCTAGTATCTCTTTCAAAAATGGCTTCTTTCCCATTCTCTCTACTCTCATTCTGGAGCCATAGTTAGACACAGACTTTTTCACTATTAAGTTCCATCTCTTTATCACTGACGAATTATGTATGCTTTCTTTGTCTAATCAGCTGTTCCATTGATGTTTGAATTTGAATGCTTGTTTTTCATTTTGATACTTTCTCTTTGATTCTTTTTAAAGACCACTTGGTTATTTTTAAGTCTCTTGCTCCTTACTCATTTTTAGAACTTGCATTTATTTTCTTAAACACATTAAATTCTTTATCGGACTGTTTTGCTGGTCTTATTCTCCTGTTATTTTTCCTGACTCTTGCTCATTGAGGTACTTTGTTTACTGTAGTTTGTGTGTGTGCGTGCGCATGCACGCTTGTGTGTGTTGACCATGAGTTCTTGTAAACTTTACCTGTGGAAAGGTTTTGAGGCCTGAGTAGAAGGTGTGTTCCTCCAAAGAGAGAGATGTTTGCTTCAATCAAGACGCTGAGTTGGTGCGACCAGCTCAAGGATCACTTCAGATTCTCAGCATGGTTTTTTCATTGCTTATTTAACTACAGAAGTAATGTGAATTCCAGTGCAAAGGCTGGCTTGTGGTTGTGAATTTTCAGGGGAGATTTCTTTTTCTTCTCTCTATATAGGTTTCCCTCTTTGGGACGGGTTTATTTTTGATATACCATTATGCCTGCAAGTATAGGCATTTGGGGTTCCAGATTTGTTTTGGAGGATGTCTGATTAGACAACATACATTTGTTTCACCTGAATCTAGACTTTGTTTCATGTGTCCTGCACTATCTTCAAAAACAGAATTGCAAGGTCACCCAGTTTGACACCTTCCACAAAGGTGATAGCAGATGGAGCACTTGGCACCTGGCTGGATTTCAAGCCTTCACTTTATTTTGTTTGAGGATTTCTACATTCTTAGGCCAAAGATGGCTTTTATTGATAAAAAGTGTGTTTTAGACTTGTTCAGAGTATCATGTGCATCATATTGCCATAAACTGAAGTCGTCTTTTTGCAAATTATCCTGGCTCTGTAGGATGTCTTACTATGTGGAAAGTGTGTTTTCCTTTATTCTTTTAAAAAGTTTTAGTTTGTCCAAAACTTGTAGGGATTTTTGTTTGAAATGCTTTGAATTTATTGAGTAACTTGGGGGTAGATTGATACAGTTGATGAGTTTTTCATGAGCATGGTATATATCTGTGTCCTTTAATAGAATTTTATCTTTTCCCCTGCTCCCTCCCATGAAAGTCTTGTGTGCTCTTAGAATGGTATCTTGTTCTATTATATTTTATAATTGTTGCTGATGTGGAAGAACTCTGGGTTTGTTTTTTATGTTGCTCTTGTATTCTCTTGTTGTTCTCTTCAGTAAAGAGAACTTTACTGAATTGTCATAGTAGGTCTAATAGCTTGTCAGTTCTATTAGATTTTCTAGGTATGTGTATAAAGACAGCTGGTATTTTCCTTCCAGTTTTTAAACGTATCAAATCATTTTCTTAATGATTAGCCAGCACCTTCAGTAATATTTTACAGTGATGGTGATAGAGTGGATTTTTGATTGTTAAAGAAATCGCTTCTTGTAGGAGGTTTGCTGTACGTTTTCGTTATTAATGATCATTGTACTGTCAGCATCTTGTATGGTGTTTGTCCTGTCTAGTATAGATGCTCAATAGATGTTCATAGGACCAAAAGAATGAGACATTTCTAAGATTCAAGCCTCTTAGGAACTAGCTTTTCCACTTGTGGGGAGACTGGGTTTTAGTACAGGTATACCTCCAAGATCTCATTGTGAGTTAGGTTCTAGACCACCACAATAAGGTGAGTCACACAAATTTTTTGGTTTCCCAGTGCATGTAGGAGTTATGTTTACACTATGTTATAGTCTATTAAGTGTACAATAGCTAAATGTCTAAAAAACAATGTACATACCTTAATTTAAAAATACTTCATTGCTAAAAAACGCTAACCATCTGAGCCTTCAGCAAGTCATAGTAGTAACATCACAGATCACCATAGCAAATACAATAATGAAAAAATTTGAAATACTGGAAGAATTGCCAAAATGACACAAAGTAAGCAAATGTTGTTGGAAAAATGGCTCCAGTAGACTCACAGCATTGCCAGAAACCTTCAATTTGTAAAATTTGTGCTGTCTGCCAAGTGCAATAAAATAAGCTGTGCCTATACTTGTGAATAACTAGAAAGGATTTGGTAAAAACTAGGGCAGAAAAACCTGCTCGGATCGGGATGGAGGGAAGCAAAACTCATGTCTAGGGCAGAGTATAGGGAATGAAATTTATTATTTAGTATGAAAGATTACAATGTATCCTGTAAGATTTCTTACTAATCCTTTATTATAATTCTCCTCTTTGTTCCCTTGAGACCAGAGAAAAATGAGTGGAAATGGGGGTTGTGACTACCACATCCCTAAGAAAGTCCAAATTGTTTCCTCCTTCCCTTTGCTTTTCTTCTGCTACTTAGTTGATATTCAATTTCCCCATAGATAACTGAGGAGATGATGGATCAGGCAAATGATAAAAAAGTGGCTGCCATTGATGCCCTAAATGATGGTGAGTGATTTTTTTTTTTTTTTTCTCTTTGCTACATTTCCTATAGTAGTCTGGATATTCTCTTCTCTACTTCTCTGCTGCAGTAACTGTTAATGGTGGGAAACTGGAAGGGAACTTAAATTTATTGAGTATATGGTACTGGAGAAGAAAGCGTCTTGTCCTCCACTCACCCCTTTCCCATTAATAAAGAGGCTGAAATCACTCAGGTATCAATTATCTTGCCTCAGGGCGTGTACAGATCCTGATTATAACTCAAAGAGGGTACTTCCCTGACAATAGTCTAGTGTTTCTCCACTGACAGGAGGCTTTGGGACCTTCTTTATAATAAAAGCCTGATGGGAAAACCTGAAAAAATAATAATAATAAAAGCTGAAAGGTTTTCCCCAAAAATGGTATTAGATCGATGATCCTCAACTTTTTACATTTTAACACCCTTGACAAATATTGTCCATCAATACAACACTCTTGTTCTAGTTTCTGCATGTTAGAACCCCTTCAGAAAATCCTATCAGAGTGGGAGAGTGCTGGTAGTATTAAGTATTACGTTTAATTAGTTAAAATTTATAAGAACAAATTATTTATTAACTTGGGTACTGTGCAAACCCCTTTATAGCTGTGTGGTGTAGTGTGTCACAATGCCATCATTGAATAGATGCTATTATATGATGCTGTTGTGCATTTGTACTTCATCCTTAGACTTAGAAGATGACTAAAGTTTTATTTTAGAATGAGTTCAGTATCGAATGCTGTTCAGGTTCCTTTTCATTGTAATCCCACCACCTTCTTAGCTTAAGTCCTTATATGTTTATATTATTGCAGTTACCTTAATAGTTTGTCTACCTGACATGTCTCTACTTCATTGCTTTCTATTCACTGCCCCTGGATCATTCTTATTTAGAACTTGTTTTTATTGGTACACACTCCTTTGCTTGTAACCTGTGACTAACTTTTGCATACATTTTGAAGCTCATCATAGCATTGGACCTGCTAGAGTCAGATCCTATATTTTGCCTTCCCAGCCTTATTCTTTTTGAGTATTAACCTTCCATTCCAGCCAGACCTCACTTTCCTAGAATGTCCCTTTACTTGTGCTTCTCTGTAAAGCTCTTCTTCACCTATTTCAACTTCTAAGTTGTACCCATCAATTCATCCCAGCCACTTCTCTTCCTGACCATTCCTTTTTCACACTATCTTTTCTTAATTTCCCTACCACCTAAGATTTCTATTTACCTAGCATATAATTGTGCCTTCTACATTTCTGCCAGCTTTATTATATTTTAATGTGCATTATTTCATTAAAATCTCATACTAGTCCCATTTTACAGATCAGTGAATAATCTGAGGGCTTAGAGGGGTTTTGACTTGCCCAGGATCTTACTGTGCCATACTATCAACTCATTATTTTTGTCACTTATTTTGGCATATTGTATTTTTAAAAATTTACTTACATATTGTCTAAGCAATATTTAACAAAGTGAAAATGAAGCAGCCACCACCTAATAAGTCACGTTTTTGTTTTTCCTTATTTTTTTCCAAGCTGTGTTTATGTGTAAATATAGCCTAGTTCTAATTTTAGAATAGGTACAATTTTATGGTGTATGTTACAGGGATAAAACACTAGTGTTATAAGCTAGGGATTGTAGGTTCAGGCCCCACCTGGGGTCGGAGAGGCAGGAATATAGTTAAACCCTGGGTTTAAGGAGCCCAAGTTCCTGGGTTTGAATCCCAGCTCTGGGGCTTACTAGCTACGTAAACTTGGAGAAGTTACTCTCTCTGCCTCTGTTTTTGTTCCCTCCCTTGTAAAATATGGATAATAATACCTACTTAATAGAGTCATAAGGAATAAATGAGTAAATGTGTATAATATGCCTAGAATAGTACCTGGTACTAATATTAAGGTACTGGTACTTTTCTTATTAAGACCTTAGTGTTTCCAGCTGTCACATTATTAGAGGTATTTCTGTTAGGCTTTTTCAGTTTAATATATTTATTGAACAAGTATTTATTGAAGGCTTACCATGTTCCAGATACTGGGTATACAGCGGGAAACAAAGCAGACCAAGTTCTTTACTTCGTAGACTTTATATTTTGGGAGAACAAAAATAAACAAATTTATAATATAAAGTTAGGTGGTAATTAGTGCTATGAAGAAAAATAGAGCTGAGTAAAGGGATAGTCAATGATGGAAGCTATATTTTATATAAGGTGGTCAGGAAAGCACCTGATGAAGTGCAGGGAGCAAGCCGTGTAAAGAAGCGCTTTTGGGGACATAGGGGAGAACAAATACAGAGGTTAATTGGGAGAGCATTGGGGGCAATTACGTGTTCAAGGAATAGCAGAAAGGCCAGACTATCTGGAGTGTGCTGAGCGAAGGGATAAGAGTGGTAGAGTTGAGGTCAGAGAAGTGCTTGAGGGGTGGGAGATGGGGGGTGGGAAGGTGGTGAGGAGGACAGATGATTGACAGCTCACTAAAGAACTTAGTAGATCATGCTAAGGATTTAGGATTTTATCCTTGATTATGCAAAGCCATTGAGGGTTTTTTGACTAGGAGGATTTCATAGTGAGAAGAATTTACTTTTGAAAAGGATTATTCTTGCTACTCTGTGTAGATCAGATTTTAGGGGCAAATTAAGGGTATGTTCATTGGAGAAGTAGAAGCCAAGACATGAGTTGGTGTGGCAGAGGTATATTAGGAAAATACCTGTGAGGCAAGGTGGGGGAGCAGGGAGAACTGGAGGAGTCTGGGAAGACAGTGAGGCTATCATGTAGGTCTTACCCCTCCGTAGGAGAGATGGAAGGTTGTGTAGGAAAAGTCTTCAACGGTGTGTGTGTTTCTAAAAGTCTAGGCAAGTCAAGGTTGCCCATTAGAGGAGTTGCACGTCTCACAAGAATGGGCCTACCTGGGTATCCTTCCTGTATTCAGTCATTAGCTGGGAGCAGCTTATGGAGTATAGCCTTGAGCCTAGAAGGCGGCGTTCTCCATCAGTTGTGCTCGCTGCAGCAAATCTAAGGTGCATTTTCATGACTCCACAGAGGGAGGGAAGAAATTTTTGTAGTCCAGGTAGCTAATGATGATAGCTTTGCATTGGGGCAGAGTTTCCCAAACTTGCTTTGTTTATAGTGTCCTCACCATTTTCACTTTTTTCACAGCACTCCTAGGCCAAAAGAAATACATAAGAGTTTAGTTTATAATGTAGTTAGGTTCAAACAATTTAATAAGTATCTATGTCCTAACAAGTTAGTGATTGTTTGAAAAAAATAATACAAATGGAAAGAAAATATATTTAATTTCATCCTTTAATAACCATGTTTATTTTCTAGTAAGCAGTGGATATATGTTGGGCATTAAACAGCTTCTCAGATCTTGGAATCAGATTGGACATTGCCACCCTCCCTGCTCCACATCTCTTTTTCTACAGTTCTTGCTTTTTTATCATAGAAACAACTTTAAAAAATTAATTAATTTTTGGCTGCATTAATTAATTACTATATTAATAAAAATTAATTAATTAAATTTTGGCTGGGTCTTCATTGCTGTGCGCGGGCTTTCTCTAGTTGCGGTGAGCAGGGGCTACTTTTCGTTGCAGTGCGCCGGCTTCTCATGGCAGTGGCTTCTCTTGTTGCAGAGCATGAGCTCTAGGTACGTGGGCTTCAGTAGTTGTGGCACGCGGGCTCAGTAGTTGTGGCTCGTGGGCTCTAGAGTGCAGGCTCAGTAGCTGTGGTGCATGTGCTTAGTTGCTCCACGGCATGTGGGATCTTCCTGGACCAGGGCTCGAACCCATGTCCCCGGCATTGGCGGGCGGGTTCTTAACCACTGCGCCACCAGGGAAGCCCTGTCCTTTTAACTTAATGAATACAGGAAAATGTAATTAATAGAATAAAATTGACTTATCCTTTGATTTTATCTAAATTTAAAAGCCAATGAGTCCTACCAAGAATGTGGTATTCTAATATTTTTTAGGGGGGTTATGTTCCCCCAAATTGTCTGTCTTGAGTGATTTACAGTATAGGTATGGTAAAGATTTTGCTTTGAAGAGCCAGTTTTGTATGTTAATTTAGAAACTAGTCTTACTAGGCTAAAAGGGAAATGTGAAAGGCTAATTAAAGAGACCAACAGTTTTTATTAATATTTTTTATCCACTATTTCTCAATAAACTTTTGTTTCACTTTAGGTGAACTACAGAAAGCCATTGACTTGTTCACAGATGCCATCAAGCTAAATCCTCGTTTGGCCATTCTTTATGCCAAGAGAGCAAGGTGAGAATTCTAAATAAAAACTGATTTCTGCTTATTTGTTTAGATAGAATTGCTTCTGTGGCAACCCCCAAAAAGTTACTGTTTGAAATGAATACTTTTTAATATCATACTTATTTTTTAGTGTCTTCATCAAATTACAGAAGCCAAATGCTGCCATCCGAGACTGTGACAGAGCTATTGAAATAAATCCTGATTCTGCTCAGCCATACAAGTGGCGAGGGAAAGCACACAGGTAAATAATGAGACTTAGTTATTTTCAGAGCTCTTTAAGTTTAAATCTGATGTTTTAATATACCTTATTTAAAAAAAAAAATCGCGGGATTTCCCTGGCTGCCCAGTGGTTAAGACACTTCGCCTTCTAATGCAGGGGGTGTGGGTTCGATTCCCGGTTGGGGAGCTAAGATCCCACATGCCTCACAGCCAAAAAACCAAAACATAAAACAGAAGCAGTATTGTAACAAACTCAATAAAGACTTTAAAAATGGTCCACATCAAAAAAAATATTTAAAAAATTGCCTAAGGATTTAATTTTAATGTAATACATGCTCAATATGTAGAATTGAGAGAATGTCATAAGGAACAAGTAAGAAAATAAAAATTCTTTTCACTGCTTCCATTCAGTGAATACCAGTGTTAACAGTTTTTGGCCACATATAGGCAAATGTAAGGTAAGGATTTTTCTCAGTTATCGCCAAGAAAAGAGAGTGGCTTTATATCAGTGTCTTACAAACTTTCTGTTATTTTCAGACTTTGTAACTTAACATTAAACAGCCAATATATTATGGAAAAAGGAATATACTAGCTTCAGACTACTTCAATCACTGTTAGGTCACTTAAAGAGTCAGATAAGGGGGAAAATAAAGAGGTGAATTTAACCCAGATCAGTAATCAAACCTGGAAGCAAAACTTAATATACAGATGAGTCTTTGTGGCTTGGGATGAAATGTCCTGTGCTATTTACATCTTACATGGATTGAAAAGGTACTGTGCTTCAAGTGTGGATGGAAATGAAGATGAATATGCTTGGGACCATCTGTATTAGGTGACTCAAAAAGTAGCTCTAGTGATTATGAAGACAGATGTCAAAGATACAGGTAAAAGATTGGAAAATTTATATTAATGCTCTCTGGGTATATGAAAGGTCATGCATTGCTGTTGATTGTCTTGAGATCGACCCCATTAGTCTTTGAGCATTTCTTGGCCTTCTGGTATAAGAACTCATCTTGTACTTTAGCTTGGAATAGACCAGGGACTTCCCTGGTGGTCCAGTGGTAAAGAATCTGCATTCCAATGCAGGGGACGCAGGTTCGATCCCTGGTCAGGGAACTAAGATCCCACGTGCCACAACTAAGACCCAATGCAGCCAAAAAAGTAAATAAATAAAAAATAAATTTTAAAAATACACTATATAACATCAAAGAAAACCATTAAAAAACAAACAGCTTGGAATAGACCATTTCTCCAGAAAATCTTGGTTTGTTTTAGTGGGGATTATTTTGTGGAAACTGAAATTTGGCCACTAGGTATGTTTATTGTTTCCAGGGTATTGTCATTGTCATTTCAATTAACAGTCAGAAAAAACCTTTAAAAATAATGATTTTAGGGAAAGAAATTGAGAAATTTTGAGTTTATACCGATATTCTCAATTAAAATTCAACATTAAATGTTTTCCATTTTGTATTTTAGACAGTATTCTCCTAGAATCATGCATTAAAAATAATATACCCTTTAAGTAAAGTTTATTTTGCAGTTCTTTCTTATCCCTAGGATATGTCTCACTTAAGATATACAGTCAGAATACTGGTTTAAAAATTACTTGAATTAATTTTTCCTGTATGGTTTATGTTGTCAATGTGATAAATAATTAGCCTCTTTTTATTTCTGTTTGTATTCAGGGTTTGGGCTTGCTTTATTTCTGTCCTTTCTGATTTAATTTTCTTATTTGAGTTTGTAAAACATTTGCATGTTTAAAACTGAGTTAATAGGTATAACCAGAGAAGTCTCATTTCCATTGCTATCTCCTCTACTCCATATTTACCTATCTCCATCAACCTTTAGTTTCTGATCCATCCCATCTCTCCTTTCTATTTATTTATTTTTTTGCGGTACGTGGGCCTTTCACTGTTGTGACCTCTCCCGTTGCGGAGCACAGGCTCTGGAAGTGCAGTCTCAGCGACCATGGCTCACGGGCCTAGCCACTCCCCACGGCATGTGGGATCTTCCCTGAGCGGGGCACGAACCTGCGTCCCCTGCATCGGCAGGCAGACTCTCAACCACTGCGCCACCAGGGAAGCCCCCATCTCTCCTTTTTAAATAATATGTGCACACATGTTGTTTTCTATCCCATATAGAAGGTAGCATGCTGAATACGCATCATGTTAACCCTGTTTTTAATGAGTTGAAAGTTGTGGCTCTATATAATTTTTTAAAACATCATAATACTGTGAATTAAAACAATTTTTTAAAAGCTTTTAAACATTTTTTAGTAGAACAGCTTCACAGTTACCATAGAGGAAATTTAAACTAAATTTTTATGGAGTGGAACATACTAATTGAATTGGTTCATGAAAATTTGTAGTTGAATATCTAAACCTCTTCTGTAACAGTCCTTTTTTATAATAAGGAAGTAAGACACCATGCTACGTAAGTGAATATGTGTAAAAGGCTCCAAAAATTACTTAAAATCTGTTTCAGACTTTTGGGCCATTGGGAAGAAGCTGCCCATGATCTTGCCCTTGCCTGTAAGCTGGATTATGATGAAGATGCTAGTGCAATGCTGAAAGAAGTTCAACCAAGGGTATGGTAAAGTAGAGAAGGGAAAAGTCATTACTAATGGCTCTAGTACTTAATGCCCTAGCAGTAAATTAACTGCAAAACAGATGCAAAGAAACAATCTTTGGAAGTTATAATCTGTAATCACTTAAATTTGTGTTGAACTCAGGAAATCTCATTGGGTTTTCATGCTTTAATTTCTCATGCAGTATTACAGCAAGCTATGTTATTTTGTTTGCAACCCTGCAAAATTATAACCAGAAGGTTAGAAATGGAAAGGGGGCATCAAGTTTACAGCAAAAGAACAAATACAAAATTTATAAAATGCAGCCCAAGATTGAGTCTGGTTTGTCCTTATTTCTATCTAAAATTGTTAGTTAAAACAACTTAGTGCGTTTACATGGTAAATCTTTCAGCTTTGTGGGAAGTTCAAGAATTTACTATCAGAGGCTTTAAGGTGGTGGAAGTTTTATTGAATTTAATCTATCAGATGATTTGATTTTCTTTCTTTTTGTAACAGGGCTAACTCAGCAAGGTTATCGGATGAGATATTCTAGGACACAAGGTTCTTAAAAAATAATCATAAACAAGCTAAAATAATGGTTGAATATGAATCTCTTACGTTTATATTATTCTGTGAATAACTACTAGATTCCAAATGTTTGGCATGGACTATGTACTAGTGCCTGGTACATATTTTCTCTTGATTGTTATAGTTAAGACTAACATACTTCTCCCTTCCTCTCATTTTATTGATGAGGAAATCTTCAGTATAGTTAGACTGTGGGAAGTAACTGGTATGTGTTCCCAGTCTCTGCCTTCCCATGGCAGGTATCAGGCAAAAATTGTCATGCAGTTTGACATCTGTTTGTCATCCTTGCACTAGGTAATTGTTTGAAATTTTTAACACTTTTCTCTATCTTCAAATCCCAGCCTCTTTTCTTTGTTTCACAGTGGACTTGTTAAAGCCTGAGTTAGGTCTTTTTCTATAGGGTAAATCTAACCCATTTTTCACAACTATGTGTTGAATTAAATCTCTCCACAAAGAAAAGTAATTCTTTAACAAAACCATTGATTTGTGCTGACCTTATTCAACTTTCAGAGAAGACATTTTTCTGTGGCTGTTTCTTCCCTAGGCCCAGAAAATTGCTGAACATCGGAGAAAGTATGAGCGAAAACGTGAAGAGCGAGAGATCAAAGAAAGAATAGAAAGAGTCAAGAAGGCTCGGGAAGAACATGAGAGAGCCCAGAGGGTAAGGTTTCTATACTTAAACCATTAAAGCAAAATATAGTAGATGAGACTTTTTTGGATATCATTCTAATTCCTGGCTCTTGTTAAATAAAAAGAGCTGGCTGCAGTTCTGTAGGATAGTGATACTACTTAAAGGAAGTTTTCCTTCCCTTCATTGCTTAGTCTTCAAATTCTTAAGTGAGTTTGTATAGCACCAATTTATATCCTTGTTTGTGTTCTCCTAAAATCAAGACTTTTTCCTGATCAAGTAATTAATTTAAAACTTGGCAGTATTATTTGCTTTCTTTAGGATGCAAGCCCTGATATTTTAAGTTTTATGATTACTTCCGTTTTAATAGTGGATTCATAGCTATTTAAAATTGACTCTAGTTATTTTTTAGTTTTAGTTACAAATCAAAAATATTACTTAAAATCATTACCAAAAGTAATACCCATTGAGAATCCAATTGAAAATTGTTTTTTGGGAGATGGGGTGTCTCCTTTAGTCCAATATTGCCATTTGAAACTTGTCAAAACTTGTAAGTCCTCTAACTAGCTTATTTTACAATTTTTTCATGGTTTTGCATGGATAAGGTAGGCGTGGACAGCAGACTTCCCCCTTCTTATTATATAATTTATTTCCTCTTTGTATTAAAGGAGGAAGAAGCCAGACGACAATCAGGAGCTCAGTATGGCTCTTTTCCAGGTATTTTGAAAGAAAAATTAAAACTCTTAATATTGTAAATAATTGGGTAATATTCTGATTTGGAGGCTCAGGTATGTATATTGTATTTTGTACCATTAGTCCCTGGAACACTGAGTCTTTAGAATGTCAGCCTCTATAAAGTTTCATTCTTGTTAAAAATTTTGTTAGTGGAAATACAGTATATTATTTTCCTCATATTTTGAGTAGTATACTTTTTAAAAATAGATAAAATTTACTGAGGTCTGAGCATTGTATTTTATTAAAAGACTATAAGAATTTATTATGATGTATTAATTAGAGTATTCCTAAATGGCTGTAATGGAATTTTATTCTATTATACATTGATATTCATGAGGATACTAGGTAAAAGCATGGAATCATTAAGCACAAAAAGTTCTGCATCCAGTGTAGAATTAATATATCAACACATTCTTCCCTTTCTTGCAAATGTCAAGTGATCAGAAATTACTAGTGAGGCAAAGCCTTGAATGATAGCAGAGGCCTATGCGATACAGGTAGAAGAGCTGTTAAAAAGGCACTCAGAATGCTTCCTTAATGAGGCAGTGTGAAATTTACGTAAAGAGAAGAGAGTTTTTTTTTTTTTAAGTTCGTAATTGTAATGGGGGATCAGCAGCTGCAACTAGTCTTGTAAAGGTTTATAGAGGCAGCTGCACACCACTTATGCTTCCCTTGCTTAGAATTTACCACATGGTCAGAGGCTAGGAAAGGTAGCCTCTAATCTGAAAGGTCATGTGCAAGCAACTAAAAGGAAAAAAAAAGGAAGGAACATACATTGGGGATGACTTGGAGAAAAAGCAAGAAAATAAATTTTAGCTCATAGCTTACTTTCTGTTTATTAGATAATACCTTATATCAGGTACCTTTGTTTTAGAAAATGACCACTAATGTGGACTAGTACTAGAGATAATTTTTTGTTATGTGGGTTTTATTCTATGGATTTGACAAGCAGACTGGCCAACTATTGTTGCCTTGGGTCAGTAATTTTTGTAGAAAGTAGTTTTAAAAAGTCAGCAGTAGCATAAGAAGCTAGAAGTTGTTTTCAGGCCCCCGATGAGATCTCCTTATCTGTGATTGTTAGTTATTTATGGGCACGTTTGTATTGTGGAGACAGATGGAAATCACTGTGTTATAGGTGTTTCTTCTTCATGATAGCTTTATTTGTAATGACCCTTGATCTGTAGATTAATGTTACCTGTATTTCTTTTTAGGATGTCCCTATGTTGGTGTTAATTGTGATTTTAGGATATCTCCAGTGGACATAAAGGTTTATGGTAGTGAAAAACTGAGTAGAAAAGTTTGGGTTTGTAATCTAAAAATATACTGGGAGAATTAAATCTTTTTTACTAGAGCATTGTTTTCAGTGTAAAAAAGAGACACCAGGACTGCTTGTTAAAAATGCAGATTTTCAGTTTTACTTTCAGAAATTTTGGGGCAGTCAGGGTGGAGATTAAGATCCACAGCTTTTTTTTTTTTTTTTTTTAATTTTGGCTGAGTCCTGCAGCTTGCAGAATCTCAGTTCCCTGACCAGGGATTGAACCTGGCTCGCGGTAGTGAAAAGCACCAAATCCTAACCACTGGACCACCAGGGGACTCCCCAAAATCCACAGCTTTTTATAACAAGCATTTCAGGTAGTTCTTGAAGGAAGCAGTTAGCTTAGGGGAATATAGTGTTTTTGGGGAAAAAAAAAAAAACTAAACTCTTATGAATTAACTTTAAATTGAAACAGACAAATAATATTAAAGAATGAGAAGATAAGATACAAGGTGACTTACGAGACTTTTTAATTTTATAATTCCAAGGGACTGTTAGTTTTCTCTCTGAGGTAAGACTAGTTTTCTTTTTAAAGTTTTGTTACTAGGAAAAACATATTTACAGCCTTATTTTTAAATAATTAATGTTAAAAATTATGTCTTGTTACACCCAGTTAGAATGTTCAGACTACTTTGTGTCTAGTAGCACACTTGTTCTTTGTGCATGCACATGTGTTATTTTAATCAGGAGGAAATAGTGTACTCAGACTGCTTGGGAATATGCTTGGTACAGATCTTTCATTTATTCTTGTAGGTGGCTTTCCTGGTGGAATGCCTGGTAATTTTCCTGGAGGAATGCCTGGAATGGGAGGGGGCATGCCTGGAATGGCAGGAATGCCTGGGCTCAATGAAATTCTTAGTGATCCAGAGGTTCTTGCAGCCATGCAGGTAAGACTTGGAAGAACAAAGTTGAACTTTATATCACTGAGGCATTTCTTTCATAATTCTATGTGGAGACAGGTTAAGGTTACTCTGTTGGCCATATTTTATTGAGCTGAATTACCAAATAGCTTATTATGCAGTTGTGACATTCATGTTCTTTTTTTCAGAATGAGCTTAAGTTTTTAAAAGTGGTTTATAGGGAAATACTCTGTAATAGTTGGTAATTATATCCTGTTGTCCTTTTCTTTGTATCAAAATTGTGTATCTTTTTTTTCATTGTCTGAAGTGACATCATTGAGTTGGAGTTGGAAGTACACATTAATAATGTTTACGCTTCAGGGACTTGTCCAAACCTGAGTTGACTTAGCCATGACAAATTTGAAGGTCTGAATAAAGAGATAGGATTTAGGATAACAAAACAGATGACCCATAGAACATTTTTTCCATACTAAACATATATATATGTATACGCATATATATATACACAGACACACCTTTCTTTGCAGGATCCAGAAGTTATGGTGGCCTTCCAGGATGTGGCTCAGAACCCGGCAAATATGTCAAAATATCAGAGCAACCCAAAGGTTATGAATCTCATCAGTAAATTGTCGGCCAAATTTGGAGGTCAAGCATAATGCCCTTCTGACAAATAAAGCCCCTGCTGAAGAAAAAGCAACTTAGATCACCTAATGGATGTCGCAATAATACAAACCAGTGTACCTCTGATCTTCTCATGAAGAAAGCTGGGGTGCTTTGAAGATAATCCCTACCCCTCTGCTCCAAATGCAGCTGAAACATTTTACAGTGGTTTGCCATTAGGGTATTCATTCAGATAATGTTTTCTTACTAGAAATTTAAAACTTTAAACAATTTTTAAACCTTAAAAATATTTAAAACAAGAGGGTGTGTTAATCCCTACATTTTTCTTTACTAATCATTTTGGTTTTTTCCTTTGAATTAGTTAGGCAAGGAAGATACTTCAGTATGGAAGATTTATTGTTCAAGTTTGAGTGAAATAAAGATTTATTAGTGGGAAGCAAATGTAACATTTAAATAGATAAAGTTTGAGTTGGATATATGGTCACTGAGGCATTTTGATTTGTCTTTTTAATTGCTTTATTATTATTATTTTTAATGATTTGCTTCCATGAAACTATTGGGACCACCAGTCTTGCAGTAGGACCTGGGTAGGGACTGGAAGTACTTGGCAGGGCAGCAGTAATCTTACTACATTTTATATAATGTGTACCCTTGTGCAGATTAACTTAAATCTTACACTGTGGTGAAAGGATGATTTTTATACTGCTGCAGTAAAATTGGATTACTTCGCTCTGTTCTTGTCTGATATCTAAAATAAATGTTTCACATTTCCACACAGGGGAAATAAGGGAATACTTTTCTTTTTGTATTTCTATGTTTAAAATGTTCTTTTCAGATCAGAAAATGCCCAACTCTTTGTCTGCTTTCTCCTTGTTTTCACATTTTTTTATCCTACTCTTCTTGGGGTAAAGATGATGCTTTTTCACTAGCGTCATCACTGCTATCATCATTCACAGCATAATTATGCAAGCATATTTAACGCTGGGTTTAATTTAATATGTAATACAAATAGTGGCTATGTAGGGTAATACCCATAATAGCTGTAGTTTCTTACTTGGCCAAGAGATTTCATATTTAAGTGTTAGATTTCCTCTTTGGTGAAATCTTAACATACCAAAAGATGTTGGAAGAAGGGATTCCCTTTGGTGTTTGGTCTCCTACTTAGGAAATACCTATTGCAGTTAGAGTTTATCTTATAGTATTAATTTTGGGAGAAGTTTGAATTAATTGATACACAAAGAGGGGCATCTAAATTCCTAATCCAGCATGAACTAAAAAAATTGATGAGATTCATGGTGATTCTTCTTTGTGGAGTTCTCAGCATTGTGAAAGATGCATTGTTCTATTCAGCTCTTAAATACTGCAGCCATGTCCCCACCTCTCCTTATTCCTTCCCTGTCCTCCAAGGATAAAGAAAATGATAAATTTTTTGTTGTACATCCAATTCTTATATTAAATGAGGCTAAGTCCAGGCACTGTACCAGGAATTGCTAGGTTTTTACTTATTTTTCAATGTAAAGTGCTAGTTTAAAAGCAGTTTCAGGGGATGAGACCCTCTGTACTTTGCTTATTTGAAGAATCAGTGGTAGAAGCAGTGAAGTAAATTCCATGGAATACATTTCTGAAATCATAAGTAAGTTGATTCAAGTTTTTACCCTTTGCTGTATGCAAGCAAATAGAAATGCATCTGTTAAGTGAGAAAAAGCTGTATGCTGATTATGCTTTTTAAACCCTTTAAAAATACTCAGCATATAAACTTGAGTGTGAGCTTGCTGGTGTTCTTTTTGTTAATATGTGTTCTCCTTTCTCAAAATTTCCAGTGTGTGCTGTAATTCAAAATTTCCAGTGTGTGCTGTAATCCAGCTGCTTCTGGATTTTTCATTTGATTTACACATTACCTAAGTACATTCTAACATTGCACAGTGGGTAAAAGTAAAATTGGTCTGAAAATGTATCCTGTGCTTTTTAGACTTTTAAGTTAATACAAAGTACATATTCATTTTTGTAGAAACTGAACATCATTTCTAAACCAGAAATGTTCTGTTCTTGTGCCAATGATGCTATAAGAAGGAAAACTAAAGGACGTTTTTTCTGCTTAAAAATATATAGTTAGGGGCTTCCCTGGTGGCGCAGTGGTTGAGAGTCCGCCTGCCGATGCAGGAGATGCGGGTTCGTGCCCCGGTTCAGGAAAATCCCACATGCCGCGGAGCGGCTGGGCCCGTGAGCCATGGCCGCTGAGCCTGCGCGTCTGGAGCCTGTGCTCCACAACGGGAGAGGGCACAACAGTGAGAGGCCCACGTACCGCCAAAAAAAAAATATATATATATATATATTTAAATGAGGGGTTTAAAAAAAAAAGAAAAACACATGGCGATCTTTGTTCCTGGCTGATTCACAGTGATCAATGGCATCATTATTAAAATAAATAAATAAATAAATATATATATAGAGAGAGAGAGTTATTGGATATTTCTAGCTACGTTAAAAATAAAGTGTGGCTTCAGACTGGATATTGACTCTTCCCACCACCACTCCCCTTTTTTTCAGCACATGTTCCATTTCTTTTATGTCTCTATATCACTAATCCTAAGGTATTTACTAAGCACAGTAGACTTTAGATTATACAGTGTTAACAAGGACCCCTAAAAATATATTAGCTTAAGTAAAATAGAGCTTTACATTTCTTCAGGTCGCAGTTCAGAGGTAAGCACTTGTGCCATATTTAGAAGGGAGCTTCCATTGCTGTGTTCAAAGATGCTTGCTCTGGTGCTCATCTAGCCCCAAAAAACTGGAGAAGGCACCAGGGAAGTGTATGCTGAGATACTGATGCTAATCCATGGAAGTAACATTCTGTCCTCATACCCCATTGGTCATTTTTGTTTTGTCTTGAGACAATATTTAGCTCCAAGTAAACCTAGAAAATATTCCATAGCTGTGTGGTCATGTGCCCAACAAAAATAATTACTACTACAGAGAAATGGAGAAAAGACCCAGGGTAACAACTAGCAATCTGCCACACTAGGAAATACTGGCCTAATGGGATAAGGGAGAAGCAGTATTTTAGAGATTTGCTCGTATCTAAAATTAATGCACCCAAGTAGGCACATACATCAGGTGAGTAGTAATCTGTGCCAAGCACTTTTATTCTGCAAGTATTGACTTGATTCTGGTAATGACCACAAGGGTGAGTACTCCTCCCCATTTTATATAGATGAGGAAACTGAAGCACTTATGTAAATTGTCCAAGATAACATGGTTGATTTGTGGAGCTGAGACTCTCATCAGGCGTGTGGCTTCAAATGTCTTGTTCCTAAATTCTATGCTCTGCTGCCTCCCCTCTGTGTACTAGGTTGCTTCTTGCAGAACTGTTCATTTAAGAAATTGAAAACTAAATGTACATTTGAAGGGCATTAGTTAAATAAGGCATATCATATCATTGGTGCTGACAATGCACCTCCACAGGGGTTTTTCCTAGTAGAAGTCTGATGGCATAATTGTGCTGTTAGTCCACTTGTGATGGGCCCAATTAGAGGGACAAGAAATAATTAGTTTTAAAAAGTTTGGTGCCGGGCTTCCCTGGTGGCACAGTGGTTGAGAATCTGCCTGCTAATGCAGGGGACACGGGTTCGAGCCTGGTCTGGGAGGATCCCACATGCCACAGAGCAGCTAGGCCCGTGAGCCACAGCTACTGAACCTGCACGTCTGGAGCCTGTGCTCCGCAAGAAGAGAGGCCGCGATAGTGAGAGGCCCACTCACAGCGATGACGAGTGGCCCCTGCTTGCCATAACTAGAGAAAGCCCTCGCACAGAAACAAAGACCCAACACGGCAAAAATTAATTAATAAACTCCTACCCCCAACATCTAAAAAAAAAAAAGTTTGGTGCTGTAATTTTAAAAAATTAGTATGTACCAATATTTATAACCAATAAAGCATACTTTGGAGTGCATATATTTGGGGGCGCGTCGCCTAAAGTACATAGGAAAATATAGTTAAGGATAGCTGGTAAACTTCAAGAAGTCAAATCTAAACTGAGTAAGGCATGTCTTGTCGGCAAAAGTTTAAAAACTGGATTCTAAGTATTAGGTGGAACCAGAGTAGTAAGGAGGTAAATAGAATTAGCATAAACTCGTGTGTAAGTGCTATGAAATTCTAGGTATCTGGTATATAATCAGGATGTCCTTAAGTAGTTCACTCGCAGATCACGACATTTTCAGGTTGCGGTGTAAGTAACCTGACCATATGGCAGTGTATAAACAAATAGGAAGGTAATCAGTTATGGCTAGGTTACTTTTAACTATTTTGTAATGATGGTATGGTTGTGAACAGAATGATGCTAAATTTTTAGTATATCGTTTATGTAGTGTGGGACTTAGTGCTTATATAATTCAGGGAGCCCTCTTTAAGAAAAACAGTATATAATTAGGAATACTGAGATGTGAAAGTGAATGTTTAGAATGAGCAAAATGTTACTTTTAGAAATTGGAAATATCTCAAGCATCACAACTATAGAGATCCATTTAATAAATGATATACCTATGGAATTGCTACATTTTCTGCTGCCTACTCTGATTATATGACTTTTGTGTTTTCAATAGAATAGATAATTCCATCTTTATCAAAATATTTTTTGATAGCTGGGATGCAAAAGATTTCACACAGATAGACGTGCTGTCTGCTCTAGGTCATACCCGACAAATGGTAATTCTGAAAAATACTGTGTTCAATTACCATCATAAAGGGAAAGTATTTGTAAAGTGTGTTTATAAATCTGTATGCTACATAGTCCAGTTTTTTCTTGAGAGAGCTTCCAATTTAAGTAGGAGTCTGTGAGAACTGAGTCCTCTGGTTAAATTTTACAGCGGACAAGCTTCTGTGTTCCACTGCCAGAATTCTATCTTCATTTGACTTTTGGACCTGCACCTCATGTCATTGACCTTAGGGAGTGGTGGGAGTATTCCTGGAAGCGATTCCTAACATAGGATGTCTAGCAGTAACCTGTATTAATACATATAAATATCTCTAAATCCAACTGTGTGCCCAAACTTGGTTTTAATTTAGTTGTCGTCACTGTAGCACCACTGTAAATGAAAGGGAGTTTAAGTGGAAAGGGATCTTAACCAATAGCATTTAAAATATTTTATTCAAGTTTTGTGAAAACATGACCAGGTAAACATTGTTGGGGCCCTTTCCTGGGAGTAAATGTGATAAAGGGCGTAAAACACTGGGCCTGGCTGTAGCAAGCAGTCAAGGACTACCAGCAAAGATATTATAAAAGTAAACTTACTGGTACTGAAACAGGCAGACGCACAAAGCTATGGTGCTCGAGTAATTGTGGGTGAGGGCTAGAATGTGATTTTTCTAGTTCTGTGTAGTTTGGGTTTTCGCTTTGTAACGTGGAAAAATTTTTTCGGTATTTTATAAAGTACGTCTACGTAAATTAACTTTTCTAATCCTCACGGTATTAACACTTGTCATTCCACAAAGGAGGAAACCAAGAGGTCAAATGATTTTCCTGGGTGCCTACTAGTTTGTCCCCACCTCCATCTGATCATTTTGATTTCCTGAAGCTCAAGTTCTCTTCCCACCAGGGTTTTTCAGAGGGGAGAACCTTGCCCAATCAACATTTATTTCCTCTTGACCAAAATGTGACTAAAAATACTAGCGAGAGCAAATACGAGTAAAGTCTCAAAAGAGAAACAGGAAGATGAGTCCCCCAATTTGCTTGTCTCCATCTTGTCTTATGGAGAGAAGTGGAGAAAAATGAGGCTGTCCAGGTTTTCTGAAGTCTCCAGTGTTGCAGTAGGTGTGAAGTACGACTGGCCAGGTCCCGAGAACGTAGCGGAAGTCGAAGCTGACCCATCCCGTACTGAATTTCGGCCCGACCCACCGCTCCGCGTGATAGGGGTAGCACCGTGCTGCCCCGCCCCGCGCAAGGCCCGGGGGCCAATCAGAGCCAAGGGGCGTTCCCAGTCCCGTCTTTCCTTCTTCCTTCCCCTGCGGCCGACGGCCGGGAGACTGGGCGGGCGCCCTGCGACCCGGAAGTAGTTCTGGAGGAGGTGGGCCTGAGGGGTTGGAGCTGGTGACGTTGCCGCCCGGGGCTCCGGCGCTTGTTACCGCCTGTTTGCGGCTCCTGCGAGAAAACTGTGGCCAGGTCTGCGGGAACCGCACCTATGGCTTCCGTGCTGTCCTACGAAAGCCTGGTCCACGCCGTGGCGGGAGCCGTGGTGAGGCGGGATCTTTATGCCCGGGCCACTGCGGGGTGTGGGGCTTTTCTGGGGCCAGACCGGGATATGGCTGGGGGGTGGGGATGAGAAGCAGATCGTATCGTGACTGGGACATAGAGGAATGGAGCATAGGCGAAATGTTGCTGGAAGAATTTGGGGCGAGGCCCGACACTCACCCTCCGCCCCTGGCTACCGCTTTGACCTCTTACAGAATATCTGGGATGTAGGCAGCGGTGATCCCACACCGCCACAGGGAGTCAGGAAGAAGATCATTGCCGTTTTCTTTGCCTTCTGAAATTTAAAGGGCAGTCGTCCCCCTAAACCCACCCCACCGCACGCCCAAACTTTGTCTGACTGGGCCAGAGGAAAACCTAGGTGTGAAGCTGTGTTGCTGAATCACATTCTTAACTACAGCCTATTTTCACACACTTGCTGCAGACAAGTGGCAGTACCTAGCAGGGATACCTCTGGCCAATATCATTGGCAGGAGAAGATACTTTTTTTTTTAATTAAATCAAGATCAGAGTCGCTGTCTACCACATATGTGGTTTACTATGAGGAATGTGCTTGGTGCTTGGGCTCCTGGATTTCTCGCTTCCATTTGACACCACTCCCTTTTCCTTGAAACTTTCCACTCTTGGTTTGAGTAACTTCCTCTGTGGTTCTCGTCCTGTCTCTCTGCCTGCCCTTTCTCACATCCTTCTCTAGCTGTCAACACGCACGTGGAGTCACTGGGACTTCAGAGGAATATCACTGACTGAGTCCTCTTCTCCTAGGGCCCCAAAAGTGCACTGAGAGCTCATGTTCTGTGTAGGCTAATGGGAGTTGAACCCCAACTCGTCACTTATTAGATGGGTGGCCTGTAAACCTCACTTTCCTAATCTGTAAAGTGGGGGTATTGACACCTACCTCACAGAGTTGTTACGTGAATTAGATGACACAGTAGTTCATGGAAGTGCCTGATTCAGGAGTCCTGGTTCATTCAGTTAGATCAAGCTTTCAGCCAGTGTAAAGGCGCTGAAATGGAAGCTTGTTTGATATGCTCTAGGATAGGCATTGGAGGCCTGTGTGTCTGGCATGGAGGGAACAAAGAGGCAAAATGGTTTCAGGAGACCAAATTGTGTAAGAATTTTAACTCTGAGTATGAAAGACAGCTAACTAGCTATTAGAACAAGTTCTTTTGAGCATGCAGCAACTTGCAGATGAACATTTTAAACGTGATCACCCTGGCTGCTCTGTTGAGAGTAGACTGTACGGGAGCAAGGGTGGAAGCAGGGAAACTTTCAAGGGACTAAGATGGTAGCAGTGAGGTTGTGAGAAGTGATCATGAACCTGGAATATATTTTGAGATAGAACCACCAGGGTTTGATGGTAGATTGGATGTTGGGTGTAACACGATGCGAGTTGGTTGACTCCCAAGAGTTTGGGTCTTGAGCAACTGGAAGGATGATATTCCCATTTACTGAGATGGTGAAAACTGTAAAGGAGCAGCTTTTGGGGGAAAGATGAGAATGGTTTTGGATTTTGACTACTTAAGTTTGAAATGCCTAAGAATAGTTATGAGACTAGATGAGCTAACAAAGAAATGAGTGTGGACTGAGAGAAAAGTCTCAAAGACTTAGCCTTGAAACATGCCAACATTAAGAGGTTGGGGAAATGAGAGCACCAGCAAAGGAGACTAAGGAAGGGCCACTAGGGTAGGATGAAAACTAAGAGAATGTGGTGTTCTGAGAGTCGCATGGAGAAGGGTGTAGACCAACTGGGTCAGGTGCTGCTGGTGAGTCAGATAAGATGAGGACTGAGAATTAACCATTAGATTTATCAACATGATAAATCCAGTGGTTAATTGAGAGGACTTGTTTTGGTGTATTGGGGGGAGAATAGTGCAACAAAGAGAAAATGGGAAGATGGGAAATGTTTGTTCTCCTTTCTCTCAATAAATGCCATTCATTCAACATCTTTACTGAGTGCTTTTTACATGCCATGCACTGTTCTAGGTGCTAGAAGTATAGTGGAGAACAAAGTCTTTTTCTTCATGAAGTTTGCATTCCAATGGGGAAGTCAGACAATAATTGAGTAAATCAAAAAATAAATAATTTTACATAGTTTTAAGTTTTATGAAAGAAAATAAGTGTTGGCAAACTTTTGCTTTAAGGAGGCAGATGGTAAATATATAGGTGTATCGTCTCTGGTGAAGCTGCTCAACCCTGCCATGATAGTTTGAAAGCAGCCATTGACAATAAGTAAATGAATGGGCAGAGCTGTGTTCCAATAAAATCTTATTTATGAAACCAGTCAGTGCATCAAGTTGGCCCTTGGTCTTAGTTTTCTGAGCCCTGCTATAGACAGTGATTGGGGGTAGAGGTGATACTATCTCTATTTAACCTGCAAAGACATTTCTATTTTTTTTTCTCTCCTTGTTGCCTATTTTTCTCTTGTTAAAAGTTCTGCTTGAAATTATGCACCCTGAATTTGCAGTGGTTTTTCTTTCTCCCATAAGCTATGTTAGATTATCTAATAGATATACTTTTGTAAAAATATTTTTTTTTTTTCTCTTGCTTCCCTCGGGGCAGTACTGTTCCTGGCACATGTCTAAATGAGAAATTGCATTGTGTTTTGTTATTCTTTTGAATTTTCATGCCAAAGAGTGGTTCTCAAACTCTTTTTGAAAATTTTTGGGTTAAGGATAAACCACACAACATGGACCCGGCTTTCTTCTGGTTGCTACCAAAGGAAAACAATTTCACCACAAAATGTCACTACATTCGATGAGACGTTTGACGAGAAAAATGGCATTGCTTTTAATGGTATAGTACTGTGGTAATGAATGGCTCATGTTTAATTAAATGCCTTTGCCATGATGTTCAACCAAAGCTTTGAGATGATCCAGGAGAGCACAGTAGTTAAGAGCATTTGAATGCCTGACTTGAGCTAGGCAGCCTGGGTTGGAATCCTGGCATAAACTTCAGGATTTGGTATAAACTCCAGAGTTGCCTGGAGTAATTAGTTGTGGCTTCTCCCCAAAAGATTGTTGGGTCATTGTTTAATATGTTGATTTACAACCTTTTTTTTTTTTTGCGGTACGCGGGCCTCTCACTGTTGTGGCCTCTCCTGTTGCGGAGCACAGGCTCCGGACGCGCAGGCCCAGCGGCCATGGTCACGGGCCCAGCCGCTCTGCAGCATGTGGGATCTTTCCGGACCGGGGCACGAACCCATGTCGCCTGCATCAGCAGGCGGACTCTCAACCACTATGCCACCAGGGAAGCCCCTACAACCTTTTTGAGTTGACATGTTTCATGTTTGCTTATTCACTTCTTTCCAGGTCCTACACTTTCTCACCCCAAGTGTGGTGTTATGTGTGCGCACACACACACACTTTAAAAATTAAACAGATTGGGGCTTCCCTGGTGGCGCAGTGGTTGAGAGTCCGCCTGCCGATGCAGGGGACGCAGGTTCGTGCCCCGGTCTGGGAAGATCCCACATGCCGCGGAGCGACTGGGCCCGTGGGCCATGGCCGCTGAGCCTGCGCGTACGGAGCCTGCGCTCCGCAATGGGAGAGGCCACAGCAGTGGGAGGCCCGCGTACCGCAAAAAAAAAAAAAAAAAAAAAAATTAAACAGATTAGTGATTTTGAGTGTTTTATGCTTCACTTTGGTATAAGTGCAGATAATCTCAAGTATTTGAAAATCAGAATTGTGCTGTTTCAGGAGAATGCTTTATCTCCAGTTGATGACTATTGTCTGATACAATTAATGGCCTCGCATGTAAATACTTCTCAAAATTTTGAGTATAATTAGGTTTATAATTTTATATTTTTGGTTCTAAGATTAGCTTCCAAAGATAGATTTTATTTGTAGAAGTTTACATTTGTAATTAAAAAAGATTTTATTAGTCTAGAATTTGAAAAGTGAGATTGGTTGGAATTGTCTAGGGGGTTTAGATGCCAAAACAGACTTTGGAATTGTAATGATAATTATTAATCAGTAACTTTCAGGGGTCTTCTTTTTTCCCTATTGTTTATTTAAAAATTGTTTTTTAAATTTTAATTGCATAATTTGTTTTAAAAGAATTACATTTCATTGAATAAATGCTGATCATTAAAAAATTCAAGTCATACAGAAATATGAAAGAGTTCTTTCTCCTTCCACTCTACCTATTATTGTGCTGTGACTCAAATTCCAGACATACCTCTCCTTAGAACTGTGTAAGAAGGCTTATTCAGGGCACTTTTCTCCAGTTGGTATCAAAAGAGAAAATTAGGCCCAACTATCTGACTCTGTAGCTCATACTCATACACTTAACATTACAGTGGACTTTCTACCATATAGACTCACTACCTGCCTTTTAGAAGTAGAAACCAAGTAGAACTTGTTGATTTTCTGTACAAGGCCTTCTGGATATAAAGGTTATCAGTGGAAAAGTCCCTGTCCTCAGGAAGTTCTTCTTAGGTGTATAGTGGTGGTGTGGATAAGACCCCTGGTGGTACCTAGGAAGAAGTGGTGGGCTGCCCCTGTGAAGATAATGGGAAGCCCCCAACGTTGACATATTACCAAGACTGTGCACAGTGGGAAGAGGTAAAGAAAATCAGGAAAAGGGAATGTTGCTGTGTGGCCCAAAACATCAGATATCCACTATATCATGTTGTTAAAAAGACTTGAAAAATCATTGGCTTTTTAGTATAAAATATTCTATCATATGGGTATCCCATAATTTATGGACATTTGCGTTGTTTCTAGCTTTTCACTGTGGTAAATATTTAGTATAGATGTTAATGTGACCTCCCAGCACCCCATTATGAAGAAACTATGGGATTGCTTGGTTAAGTGACTTTCCTAATGTTACTCATTGATTTATAGATTAGAAACAAAAACCTAAATTTTCAGATTCAGTTTAGTTAACTCTGATTCTAATTTGTTAAATGCCAACAACCTCACAGGGTTCTGTGAATATTAATAAAATAACTTAATTAAAACAGCTTTTATACTATCTGACACATAATAG